AAGCATGATGGCACTAATGGGTGGAAGTGTTTATTTCAACACCAGGAGTATTACAAGTAAGGCAGCTGGGCTTAGAGCCTGGATCTGTACATGGGACTATGATGTTCCGAGCATTACAGAGACTTGTTTAAGAGAGGGACAGGACTGGCAGCTCAACATTCCAAGGTTTCATTGTTTTAGATGAGACAGAGGAAGGTAAAAGAGGTGGAGGAGGTGCATTAATAATCGGGGAGAATGCTACATCTGCACTCAACATACTGGAGGCTCATCCACTGTGGCAATATGGGTACAGCTCAAAAATAAGATTGGTGCAGTCGCTCTGATATTAAACTATAGGCTGCCCAACAGCCACTGAGACATTGAGGAACAAATCTGTAGGCAGATTATGGAAGGATGCAATTAAAACAGAGTTGTCATAGTGGTAGACTTTAACTTCCCCAATATTGAGTGGGACTCGCTTAGAGCAAGAGGCTGAGACAGGACAGAATTTTGAGTGCACCCAAAGGGGTTTCTTGAAACAGTGTGTGGATAGTCCAACAAGAGGACGGACTATATTGGACCTTCTACTGACTAATGAGCCTGGCCAGGTGACTGGTCTTTTAGTGGGACAGCATTTTGGAAACAGTGATCACAGCTCCTTAAGTTTTAAAGTAGCTGTGAATAAGGATAAGTCAGGACCTTATCGCAAGGTACTAAACTGGGCGTTCACATTACATCAGTATTAGGCAGGAGCTAGGGAGTATTAATTGGGAGGGTCTGCAATTCACATGTGGGGAGTTGTTTAAAGACCTGCTGATGAGGGTTCAGTACTTGCATGTCCCAGTGAGGAGGAATGACAAGGATGGCAAGGTAAGGGACCCTTGGATAACAAGGGAGGTTGTGAATTTAGTGAAAAGAGGAAAAAGAAGCATATGTAAGGTTTAGGAGGCTAAATTCGGACAGGGCCTGTGAGGAATATAAAGAAAGCCGGAAAGAATTCAAGCAAGGGATTAGGAGAGCAAGAAGGGACCATGAAATGACCTTGGCAAGTAGGATTGAAGAGAACCCTAAGGCATTCTCTACAGCAAAAAAAACCAGAGGATAACTAGGGATAGGACCACTCGAGGATAGAGGAGGGAACTTGTGCTTCGAGGCAGAGGATATGAGTGAGATCCTAAATGAGTACTTTGCTTCAGTATTCACCCAGGAGAAGGTTATGGAGAATAGTGAGATTTGCATGGAGCATGCTAATATTCTGTTGCATTTTGAGATTAAGGAAGAAGTGGTGTTGGGTCTCTTGAAGAGCATTAAGATGGATAAGTGCCCAGGGCCTGATCGTATCTACCCCCATGTTATTGAGAGAGGCTAGAAAGGAAATTGCTGGGGCCTTGACCAAGATCTCTGTATCCTCGTTAGCCATTGGAGAGGTTCCGAAGAACTGGCGAATAGCTAACGTTGTCCCTCTGCTGAAGGAGGAAATAGGGGTAATCTAGAAAAATATAGACTGGTGAGTCTTGCATCTGTGTTTGGAAGCTGTAGGAAAAATTTCTTTGGGGTAGAATTTATGCGCACTTGGAAAGGCGTGGCCTAATTGGGGCAGTCAGCATGACTTTGTGCAGGGCAGGTTACGTCTTACTAACTTGATTGAATTTTTTTGAGGAGGCGACAAAGGACAAAAAACAAGGGAAGAGCAGTGGATGTTGTCGGCATGTATTTTAGTAAGGCGATCGACATGGTCCCTCATTGCAACATTAGAAAATAGGTACAGGAGGAGGCCATTCGGCCCTTAGAGCCTGCATTGCCATTCAACACGATCATGGCTGATCATGCAATCTCCGTATCCCATTCCCACACTCTCCTCCTTGATCCCTTTAGTTGCAAGGGCCACATCCAAATCCTCCTTGAATATATCTAATGAACCGGCCCCAGCAGCTTCCTGTGGGAGAGAATTCCACAGGTTCACAACTGAATGAAGATATTCTTCTGCATCTCGGTCCTGAATGGCTTACCCCTTATTCTTAGACTGTGACCCCTAGTTCTTGACTTCCCTAACATCAGGAACATCCTTCCCACTTCTAGCCTGTCCAGTCTAATCAAGATTTTATATGTTTTAGTGAGATGTCACACCCCCCCCCCCCCCCCCCCCCCCCCACACTGGCCGAGCCCTGTGTTCTTCTAAATTCCAGCGAATACAAGTCCAGTTGACCTGGTCTTTCCTCCGTACGTCAGTCATGCCATCCCAGGAATTGGTGTGGTGAACCTTTGGTGGACACCCTCAATAGCAAGAGTGTCCTTCCTCGGACTAGGAAACCAAAACTGCCCACAATATTCCAAGTGTGGCCTCCCCAAGGCCCTGTCTCACTGCAGCAAGACATTCTTGCGCCAATACTCAAATCCCCTCGCTATGAAGGAGAGCATGCCCTTCGCATTCCTTATGGTAGGCTCATCCAGAAGATTAAGATGCATGAGATCCACAGTGACTTGGCTGGGTGGATTTAGAATTGGCTTGCCCAAAGAAGGCAGACGGTAGTGGTGAAAGGGTGTTTTTCAGGCTGGAGGACTGCGACTAGTGGTGTTCCACAGGGATCCGTTAGTAAATTTGCAACAACACAGTTCGGTGGAGTTGTCAAAGTATACAGCGGGATGATAATCAGTTGCCGGTATGGGCAGAGAACTGGCAGATGGAGTTTAATCCGGGTAAGTGTGAGGTGCTGCACTTTGGGGGATCAAATGTTAAGGAAAAGTATACAGTTAATGGCAGCACCCTGAAGAGCATTGATGTACATGGGACTCAAGTCCGTAGCTGCCTGAAAGCGGCCATGCAAGCAGATAGGGTGGTAAAGGAGATGTATCGCATGCTTGCCTTTAATTGGTCCGGGAATTGAGTACAAGAGTCAGGGTGTCATGTTGCAGCTTTATAAGACTTCAGTTAGGCCACGCTTTAGAGTATTGCATTCAATTCTGGTTGCCACATTATAGGAAGGATGTGGAAGCTTTGGAGAGGGTGCAGAAGAGGTTTACCAGATGCTGCCTGGATTAGAGTGTATGATCTGAGGAATGGCTCGAAAAACTCAGGTTGTTTTCTCTGGAGTGGTGGAGGCTGAGTGGAGACTTGATAGAAGTCTGTTAAATTGAGATGCATAAATCGGGTTGACAGTCAGAATATTTTCCCCAGAATTGAAATGCCTAATACTAGGAGCCATGTATTTAAAGTGAGAGTGGGAAAATTCAAATGAGTTGTGAGGGGCAAGTTTTTTTTTAGTGGTGGGAGTCTGGAGCGTACTTCCAGGTGGTGGTGAAGGCAAATACGTTAGGGGTATTTAAGAGACTCTTAGGTATGCACTTGAAAATGCAAGGATTGGAGGGATATGGACCAAGCGCGGGAAGAAGGGATTAGTTGAATTTGGTGTCGTGTTCGGCACAACATTGTGGGCCGAAGGGCCTGTTTCTGTGCTGTGTTGTTCTGTGTTCTCAACAGAAGGCGGCTCAAAACAACAGAAACCTAGAGGAGCACAGATTATGCAAGAGACAACTTAAAACAAAAAAAAATCAGGAGAGCAAAAAGGGAGCATGAAATAATGATGTGTCCAAAAATAAAGAAAAATCCTGACCTGTTTTACAAGTACATTTAAGGGTAAAAGGGGAAAGAGTAGGGTCAATTAAGGACCACGTTTGTGCATGTAGCCACAGAGCTTGAGTAATATTCTAAAAGAATACTTTGTGACAGTGCTCGTTAGCGAGAGTGAGGGGTACAAAATTCGGGGAGGGCTGTGATATACCTAAAGAAGTTAGCATAGACTAAGGAGGTTCTGACAAGTCTGTTGGATGGGGTAGTAAATAGTAAGTAGCATAGCCAGAGACTGCAAGAGAATATAGATGGTCTAGTCAGTTGGGCTGATCAGTGGCAAATGGAATTCAAACTCCATAAAAGTGAGATGATGTATTTGGTGGGCAGGACAAACAAGGCAAGGAACTACATGATGCACAGTGGGACTCTAAGTCTCCCTAAGTTATGGGAAGATGCCAGAGTTTTGGAAATGATAAATCCTTTGTCAAGAAAAGTAAATAAGGCAGGACAGTTTTAGATTAGTTATGGGAAATAATTGGCATAATTAACAGGCATTTGGAGTGGTTTGAAAGCAAGTATGGATTTGCAAAAGGCATACTCTTTGACTACCTGCTTTGAATTAATGAAGATGGTTGAAGAGAATTTGGTGAATCTGTGTGTGGATTTAAGAGTTTCTCAAAAGTACTACAAAGAGTGGTTGACAAAGTGAGGCTGGTCCAAAGGGCAATGGGTGTCAGCTTAGATCTTTTTTAAATGGCTTTAAGAACAGAAATCAACAAATTATGTTAAATAGTTTAATATTGAAGTACAAGGAAATTTCAAAATTTGCATTTTCTTTTCTTCCTCCTGTCTGCTTTAACCAAATGCCTTGTATTCCACATGTCTGGAAACTTTTTTTTAATACCATCAAAACCTTATGTGATTTCATGCACCTCTTTCAAATCTCCTCGCCTTTTCCACATGTAGCTGTCTGTTCCAAAGTAAATAACCTTAACATTTCCAGAATGCACCACAGCAGTCTCTCAGTCCTGAAACATTGTAGAAAATCACTTAACATACTCATTTTTGTTGTTGGGTTGTTTTCTTGTTTTCTAAAATCAAGCCTGTCTAATAGTGAAATATTGTTTAGAATAAAAAAAACAAAAATATAGGTTCAATTGCATCATTGTTTTTTTTATTCACGCAAGACTTAAATGTTCTGTTCTACCTCCCAGTTTGGGTTCTGAGACTAAATTGGTAATTGAGAGTCTCAGAATTTTACTTCGAAATGTGACAATCAAATACCAGAAGTTTTAGAAATTCATTTGTTTAAATAACTGACTTTTCTCCAAATGTACAGCAAATACAGCTCAAATAATGGGTATGTAATGACTGGACAGTTGCTGATTACGTATAGAATTAAATTCTTTAGCTGAAGCCCAGACTAGAAACTGAGGTTGTCTTTTCAATCTTAGATTAACACCCAAGATTGGTTTCCCATGGAGTGAAATCCGCAATATCTCATTCAATGACAAAAAATTTGTCATCAAACCCATTGACAAGAAGGCACCGGTGAGTCCTCCACAAGGATTTAGTTTTTGTATGGAAAGTTTTTTTTTCTAAATGTTTAGAACTGTTACCTATGCACTAGTTCTTGGATTTTATGTGCACTTTAAAACTCTGCTTCATTCAGTTTTCAGTTGAATGATGCTATTTTCTTATGCTAGTACTTCAAAACAGGAGTTTTTCTCTGTTCTTGAGCTATAAAGCCCTAGATCACTTGTCTTACCCATTTTTTCTCAGCTAGCACCCCTCCCCCACCCTCGCAACTCCCATGCCAACCTTTTGTAGTTTGTGCACAACCACTTCTAGGTCACTCTGCTCTTGCACCCCTTTTAGAATTGCACCATTTAGTTTTTATTGCCTCTCCTTGTTTTTCCTCCAAGATTAATCACTTCACAGCTCTCTGCATTAAACTTACGAGCATATATTTCCCATTCCTATGTGCTTCTGAAGTTCACAATGCTAATATGCTTGTCAGCTGCATGTTTTGAAATTGTTCTACATCATTAATATAAATCAACTAAAGCAACCTCTGGGGTGTACCGCTGTATGCTTTGTTCTAGTCCAGGTTTACTCCTTCCTTCATGCTCCCATCCACCCTGGGTTTTTTGCCTCATTGCCTGGTCTTGCTAGCTTAAGCACTCCCCACCCCACTCTGTCTTTCACCTGATCTGTGACACCATCCCCAAACCAGCACAAGTATCCTTCCAATAAATGCATGTTCTTTACTTTTTTTTGGATGAAATAATAATTGAAAGTGGGGAAGGTTAACAACTAACATTTCTTTGGCTTTTGAAAAATACATCTGTTAAATTGACATGGCTATAAAATTTCCTGCGGATCAGTGCAGTGGGTTCATACTAGTTACGAAACATTGCTTCTAAATACAATTGACATTTGCTTCAACCCATTAAATAAATTTAAGTACTCTGTTCACTAGCATTGTTTTAATAGTTCATTTTTTTCCAACTAAGTTTGTTTTGTTGACACTGTCAAATGCCCTTTGAGAGTTCTTTTTTGAGACTGCCTCTTTATTAACTAGTAATTCTCCAAGCAATTAACTTTGACAGTGGGGTATAACCATTATTCTACCACTGAGCTTGGCTATAGTTACTTGGATTTTCCATCTCCTATTTGTTGAACAGTGGTGAAACAATTTCGGTTCTCAATTTCCACTCCTAAATAAAAGCTACAAAAGTGGAATCTTGACAGTAGTTTCTTCGTTTGGAGACTATTCAGTAAATTTTTGGTTCTTTTGTTTTATAGTTCCCCAACTTTGGGGAAAGAATGTTGGACTCTGATTCCACAGAAGGAGGTGAATGCATACTTGATGAAGACCAATTTTCAGATTTGTAGGGACAAATCTTGGCTATGGAAATAAATTGAAAGCTCTTGTACTGTTTACAGGATTTTATTTTCTATGCTCCGCGTTTAAGAATAAACAAAAGAATCTTGCAGTTATGTATGGGCAACCATGAGCTTTACATGAGACGCCGAAAACCTGATACAATTGAAGTACAGCAGATGAAAGCCCAGGCTCGGGAGGAAAAGCACAAGAGACAGTTGGAAAGGTATTGGACGTTATCTGTTTTCTCTGTACTTAACAAAAGGAGTGACTTTGCTTCACCCTTGACTCAAAGGCGGTGTACTTCAGAGATGTTAATCCCAGGCTCCATCTACCTATTCAGCTATATGTAAAGTGGCACAATACAAAGAAAAGTATGTTATACAGGCCAGCGTTTAGCTGGAAAAACCAGGAAATAAAAGACTTAGTTCTTTAGTTTATTGCTGGTTGTGGAACTTGACTACAAGTTGTCTGCTGTTTTCTATATCATAACAATTGCTTTACCAGCAGATAAACAGAATACAAAGGAGACCCACGAACAAATAAGCTACATTGGCATCTTTGTCCAGCTTGTGCATTCAGCTTAATCTTTTGTAAATTGTGCCTGTAACTGCCTGACCACCACCACCCCTCAAAAAAAGAACAAAAAGTACAAAATAAAATGTCTTCTGGATGAAAATCAAGCTTTTATCTGGACACTGCTGTTTAGTGAGCAGTCAATTTTTAAATCTTTAACTCTTCTGTGTATAGGGCACAGTTGGAGCAGGAGAAACAGAAGCGGGAGACAATAGAGAAAGAAAAAGAACAGATGGAGAAGGAAACTCGAGATCTGATGCTGAAGCTGAAACAGTATGAAGATCAGACAAAGAAAGCTGAAAAAGGTAAAAGTAAATTCGTAATGTTCTCTTGTCAAGTCTCCAGAAAATGAATATGGTGGAAAATTTTGGATTATTCTCTGGCTCTTAATTGGTTTTAAGATTGTTCCTGTTCTGAGATTTTTCACAAGAAGTGGAGGCAGTCATTGTTATTGACTATGCAGTGCTGAAAGATATGTTACGTTATCATTTTCTGGAGTTTAGATTTTAAATTATAAATTATCTTCATATGGCTTTAGATTGTGAAGGAATTTAATATCTATCTAAGTCAGTATTTTCAAAAATTTTAGTTTTAAACCTGAATGTGTCGGCAAACAGATGACTTGAGGCCTCCTGGGTGTTAATAGAAGTTTGTTTATATTGTGTGGCTTATGACGAGAGAGAAGCAAAAGCCATTAACTTAGCGAAGCTGAGATTGGCAAGTATTTTTCTTAATTTATTTAAGAGTTTGAGTTCAGAAAGGGTCTTGTCTGAATATAAATGCAAAAATGGTTTTTTCCCCTTTTTGGTAAAAAGGAGTTTGTTGAGCACTTAATGGAATTAAAGTTACCTTAAGGCGAGGGATTCAATTTGTGACCACTTCCAGACCAGGAGTCGTTAGAAATCCCCATTGGTTATTCAAAGCTGTGAAAGTCTGAGCTCTCCATTGAATATCAAAAATCAGGACCGGGGAAAAAACATTAAGTCAAATTACAGAGATTTTATGGGAAGAAAAATTTCTGAGTTTTGATTACTTGTAAAATGGTATTTAGGAGTAGATGAGATTTTTTCTTTTTGCCTGGAATCTGAAATTTTAAGCTGTTTTATGTAGATAGCTTTGTTCTGTTTTTCTTTCCTTTGCGTCATAAATTCTTTTTATTTTTGAACCCAAATCTGCAGCCTTGTGTGTATATTTCAGTGAAAGAAAATGGATCAGTTTTTAAATTTACTTTTACCAAGCCTGATTTCCTTGAGATAATTTGTAATAAAAATACCTTTCTTTCACCATTTGGTATTCTTGTATATCAGTAAATAAAATGAAAGAATCCGATAATTATGGTGCATTAATGATTTCACTCCAAGCTTTTCTAATTTCTCCACATAACCTTACCACTGAATCTTTTTTCCGTTATCTCAGGATTTATTCTTATGAATCTTTTCTTACATTCTCACTAAAGCTAAAGTGAGTGCTCAGAACTGGATGCAATGCTCCCTTTTGAGGCTAAACCTGTTTCATACAAGTTTATCATAACTTCCTTGCTTCTTTATGCCCCTGTTTTCTAAAGCCCAGGATTCTATTTATTTTATTAACCATACAATATATATTCCACTTTTGGTTCTATTACTCTGATGTGCTTACGTAAAGTAGGATTTGCCTGGGATAACACAGTGACAAGCATTATTTTGCATATCTCAATCCATGTGATAACAAATCAAATTTCTCAATCTGCCCTGTCTCCTTCGATTTTGTGCATATATGTATCTAAGTGTCTCTGATCCTGTATCTTCTACAATTCTATCCTTCTGGTTTGCATTTTTCCCCTGTTACTCCTAGCCAAGTGAGTCCCTTCACATTAAATTTCATGGACCAACTTTTCTTTCCATCAATCTGTACTTTTTAATGTTTAGTGATGTTCTTCTCTCAGTGCAGTGTTTCCATTTCCATGCCAACCACAGTTTTTGAAATTGTATCATGTACACCCAAATCTTGGTGGTTAATGTATCAAGAGCACCAAACCTAATGCTGATCCCTAGGGAACCCCGCTTGGACTGCCTCCTTCAAGTTTTAAAAAAAATGCAACCATGTGCTGTTCTGCCACTTGGCCATTCATGTACCAAATTTGCATCCATACCTTATATGTACAATATCACAGCTTGTGGATTATATTTATTGTGTGGCATTCGTATCAGATGTGTTGTGGAAGTCCATGTAGTCCACGTCAACTGTTACTCATTTACCATTTCTGTTGTCTGATCAAATAACTGAAGTGAGTTAGTTAAACACAATTGGAACATCTTGCATCCATGCTGGCTTTCCTTTAATTAATTAGCATTTGGCCATATGACTCTTAATTTTGCCACCAGTTATCGAATTGAAAGGTTTCTCAACAGCCAAGGCCTACCAAGACTGTCAATCAGGGAGACTCTGATGGAATGTATTTTAATTGTGCTCTAACTTTCATCTTTAAAAGGAATTTTCTGTTCACTTACCACTTTACTTATTGATCTTCGCTCCCAATTTATCTGGGCAATCCTTTCTCAATCTGTTGAAACTAGCTTTTCCATCCCTCCTTCCCATAGATCCAGGAATGTCTCCTTTTTAGGTCTGTTTCAAAAATTCTGCTCAACTCTTTCTGGAAACACATGTCCCTTTCTGCTGTCTACGTTATCCCTGTTCCAGCCTAGTTAGGACAACTGCAGGCACTCATAACTACTCCATATGATTTTTCCACTTACTTTTAATTTCTTTGCAAATTTGTTCCTCCATAAATTTCCCACAAGTTGGTAGCTTATGGGCTACACATAGCAATGTAAGAGTACCTCTTCATTTTCTTGGTTCTAACTAAATAGATTCTTCTTCAGCACCATAATGTTCTCCTTAATTAATTTTCCTAACTGACTTCCTTCCTTTCTTTCCTTCGCTATGTTTCCTGAATGCCTGCATCAGAAATATTTAATACATATTCCTGTGTTGTTGTCTCAAGTCTCCATTATTGCCACCGTATTTTCACATGTCAACTCTGGATCTGCAGTTAATTTTGGATATGTTAATATAGTAGGTTACAAAGGATGATGCATCTATAGTGATTGATTGCACTCATTTTTAAAAAGTGTATATCTTGGATCCTAGACTTGGCTGAGCAGATGCAGCGAGCAATTCAACTGGAAGAAGAGAGGAAAAAAGCACAACTTGAGGCCGAACGCCTAGAAGCTGAACGTTTGGATGCTCTCCGAGCAAAAGAAGAGTTGCAGAGACAGGCTGAGGATCAAATGAAGAGCCAGGAGCAATTGGTAAGAGCTGCTTTACTCTAACTGAGGCAATATTGGGTGCATCACATTAAACTCATGCAGTTGGTTATTTAATGATTCCTGTGTTCCAATAGTTTCTGCTTTCCTCCTACTGTGATGGCAAATAGGCCTTTCCACGGCACTAAACTTAGATACTCAAACTTGTTTGTGTGTGAATTGAAAGAAGTGGTGAACTGGGTGTCAAGCAAATAGCCTTTATATAAGTTGACTTGGATTTAAAAGATTATTTATTTTTGTACGAAGGATACCTTGCATTTTAGTGATAGTCATGCAGCAATGAAACAAACCCTTCAGTCCAACCAGTCCACACCATGTTCCCAAGCTAAAGCAGTCCCACTTGCCTGCTCTCAGCCATATCCCTTCAAACTTTCCCTATTCATGAACATATCCAAATATCTTTTAAACATTGTAACTATACCTGCATCCATCGTTTCCGTACACAAAGCACTCTGTTTTTAAAAAAAAATTGCCGATAATGTTCTTTTTAAAACTTTCTCCTCTTGCCTTAAAAATATGTCCCCTAGCTTTGAACTCCCCCAGCTTCGGGAAAAGACCCTGTCATTCACCTTGTCTCTGGCGGTCATGATTTTATGAACCTCAGTAAGGTCACCTCTCAACCTCCTACAGTCCAGTGGAAAAGGTTCCAATTTTTCCAGTCTATTTTTATTTCTCAAGCCCTCCATTACTCGACATCCTGGTAAATCTTTTCTGAACCATCTTCAAAACAATAATATTCTCCCTATAACAAGGCAACTAGAACTGCACACAGATCTCCAGAAGAGGCCACACCAGCATACTGGGCAACATCAATATGATGCCCCAGCTCCTACACACAAAGGTCTGGCAATGAAGGCAAGCGTGCTAAACGCTGCCTTAACCTCTCTAAAATTGTAGTTCGTGTGGTTTAAGGCATCATTTGTCAATCAGATATTTTATTGAAAAGTCGTGTTACCATCTTGAAACAAACTAGTATTGTATTGTGTTTAGTATGTTATAGTCTGAAACCTTGGGAGTTTGCTGAAGGAATAAAACATGAAGTTCACCAGTTTAACACCCATTTTACTATTCTGGAATCAAAGAGTATTTATTCAAACACAGGAACAAAAACAGAAGTTGCCAGAAAAGTTCAGCAGATCTGGCAGCATCTGTGAAGAAAAGAAATCAGAGTTAACATTTTGGGTCTGGTGACCCTTCTGCTCTGAGGAAGGGTCTCCAGACCCGAAATGTTAACTCCGATTTCATTTCTTCACAGATGCTGCTAGACCTGCTGAGCCTTTCCAGCAACTTCTGTTTTTGCTCTTGATTTACAGCATCCACAGTTCTTTGGTGTTTATTTAGTATTCATTCTAATAACTGCACTTTATTTTTGAGTAGTCACTTACATTCCTGCTGCTTATAGTTGCTGTTAACAAGCGATCTGCTGTTATGGTATGTCATTGCCATCCTCTCAATTGACTAACTCATCAGTAAAATCACCCTGACATTTATCATCCAATTACTCCTGGATCTCACTGTTCTCCACTCTGTGTGTAGCCTTTCAGCTCTGATCAAATGCCTGAAAAACTGGTGTTTTCTTTTCTGGACATCAAGTTTTAGCGTTCTTTGCTATTGCAATTATTACCTTTTCACTTGTGGTCTGTTTTTAACACTGGTCTTAGCATGCAACATTTCAAAGACCTCCATTTTTCCATTGGTTTTATTTATTTTCCAGTTTCTGAAATATATAGGAAAATGGATAGAATATAGCACCATGAGTTTTTTTTCTTTGTTACAAAGTTTACTTTTCTTGTTAGTGTATTCCTCCCTCATTTTTATGAAAGTTCTTATCTGTTCTCCTCCTGACTTAGAGTTATAGAGCCGTACAGCATGGAAACAGACCCCTTAGTCTAACTCCCCCATGCTGACTAGGTATCCTAAATAAATCTAGTCCCATTTGCCAGTATTTGGCAAATATTCCTCTCAACTGTTCCTATTCATATACCATCCAGATGTCTTTTTAAATGTTGTAATTGTACCAGCCTCCTCCACATCCTGTGGCAGCTCATTCCATTCACACATCACCCACTGTGTGAGGAAGTTGTCGTTTAAGGTCCCTTTTAAATCTTTTCCCCCGTCATCTTAAACCTATGCCATTTAGTTTTCTGCACTCTAGGGAAAAGATCTTGTCTTTTCACTCTATCCATGCCCCTCGTGATTTTCCAAACCTCTAAGGTCACCCCTCAGCCTCTGATGGTCCAGGGGAAAAAAGCTCCAGGCTGTTCAGCCTCTCCCTATAGCTTAAACCCTTCAACCCTGGCAACATCCTTAAATCTTTTCTGAACCCTTTCAAGTTTCATGGAGGCCAGAATTATACGCAGTATTCCAAAAGTAACATAACCAATGTGCTGTACAGCCGCAATATGACCTCCCAACCCCGAAACTCAATGCACTGACCAATAAAGGTAAGCGTATCAAACACCTTCTTCACTATCTTGTCTACCTGGGACTTTGCTTTCAAGGAACTTTGAACCTGCACTCCAAGGTCTTTGTTCAGCAACACTCCACAGGACCTTACCATTTAAGTATATAAGTCCTGCCCTGATTTGCCTTACCAAAATACAGCACCTCACATTTCTCTAAATTAAACTCCATCTGCTGCTCTTCGGCCTATTGGCCTATCTGGTCAAGGTACTGTTGTACTCTGAGGTAACCTTCTTCACTGTCTGTGCACCTCTAATTTTGGTGTCATCTGCAAACTTACTAACCATACCTCCTACATTAACATCCAAATCATTTATATAAATGACGAAAAGCAGTGGACCCAGCACCAATCCGTGTGGCACACCGCTGGTCACAGGTCTCCAGTCTGAAAAGCAACCCTCCACCACCACCTTCAAGTTAGTTCTGTATTCAAATGGCTAGTTTCCCTGTATTCTGAGAGATCTGACCTTACTAACCAGTCTACCATGAGGAACCTTGTTGAACGCCATACTGCAGTCCATATAGATCACATCCACTGCTCTTCCCTCGTTGTTTGTTACTACTTCAAAAAACTCAATCAAGTTAGTGAGACACGATTTCCCACTCTCAAAGCCATGTTGACTATCCCTAATCAGTCCTTCTGCTTTATATCTACTGTATTATCAAGTGTGTTCAATTAAGATAAATTGTATCTACTTTTTCCTGTATGAAAGCACCTACTTCAAACTTCACTCCATTTGCTTTTAATGTGTTCCTTCTATTTTACTTTTTAATGTTCGTATCCAACTCGTATTCTAAGATTCTGGATGTTACTTGTTCCATGATATTTTGCATCTGTTCTGATTCTGCAAGTAGCACTTTATTGTCAGTGTACCACAAGTTCATTTTCTTCCCCAATTGTTTACTCCAAGAACTGCATCTAATTCTCTGAATATTACTTCTGTGTACAGATTGGTTTAGAAACCATGCACAGCCTTGTTGTACTTGTCTCTTCCCCTGAAACAATATCTGATCATCTGACTTTCTAGCCTGATGATCCCAACTTGGACCCACCATAAGCTCTGGATAATCTTTCATCTTTACTGTCAAGTTCACATTTGAGCAACAGGTCTATTAACTGCTGATAACTGCAATGGCATGCTTTTTCCATAATCTATGAAGTGTATGTAAATGTTCTTGATATTTGTGTGTTGGATGTTAGTTTCTTCTTCCTACCCCAGGTCCAAATCCGAACTCTTTCACTAACCTGAGCTTCCATTGCATTATTTATTTCAATTGTGGTTTTAAGTTCTGAACCTTTTGCACACTTCATTGTTTTAGATAGCTTAGCAAATAATGAATGTATTCTTTGGTGTATATTTAGTCACACATTTCTGTTCTAACTAAATCTGTTTTTTAGAATATTTTTAGATATTCTGTTGGTCCAACTATGCCTGAAGCCTTTCCCATATTCATCAATTTCAAAGCAGATTTCGCATCTGATGTCATGTTTAGTCCTTCAATTGTCTCTATCAATGGACTGCTTCAACTTGGATCATTATAAAATTCATCATCTTTTTGCTACTGTGTCCTTTTCAAACACATTTTATTCTGTTGTTAATCCCCTCTATTGGTCAAATATTTCATTTTCCTGTGTATAACTGTCACTGTGTAATTTTGTAGCGGTTCTATTACTTCATCACACATCTTACACCATTTCCCCTTAGCCTGCCTTGTTCTTTGTTATTTCAATTTCATCATAATCCTGTATGTTTCTCTGCTAATTACTTCAAAGATATTAGATGTACAATAAACTCAGATATTTAGAATCTAGAATCTAATCCAGATTCTTTGAATCAGTTTTCTCTTCTACACTCATTTGACTTGCACCAAAAAAATTCAAGTCATAGTTGGAAGGTTTTTAGAGAGCATTATCTCAAGATAAAACGTGGTTTTCCCCAAAATCAGATGGACCATATCACAAACAAACCCTATAATTGGTTTGAGGAAAAGAAAAATCAATTAAGTGAAACGCACAGCTATACTAGGCCAAATGAAAATAATATTTTAGATTGACCTGAATTATCAGTAATCCAAGGAGTGTTTGTAAACTTTTCACAAAGTATAAGAATTGATTATACTGTAGTATTCACACAGTTTTTCACCAATTACATCTCAATTCCCAGAAGAGAAAGGATAGGTTTTTAAATTTAATTTCTAATTTCTATTTTGTATCAGGCTTCAGAGTTATCAGAATACACAGCCAAGATTGAAGAACTAGAAGATGCCAGAAGATTGAAAGAGGAAGAGGCACAGGAGTGGCAACAACGGGTGAAGAGCTATTAGTTGATATCTGCATTTATGTGGAAATAAGCAAGCAGTTATTTCAATCTGACCTTTTCAGATCCATGGGATTAGCTCATTACAATATTTTGTATTAAAATAACAGTATTTTAATTTTGTTTTTACATGCTATACTTTTGTAATCCACCTGCCACTTCATATAGTGATGACTTTCTAGGATGTTTGATTGAGGAAGAGCACAGAATATGATATCATCACCCCCTCAGTTGTTGAATATAGCATCCTCAAAAAAGGATGTCTGTGCTGTTGTGGGCTGCATAGTACTTGAATAGATTATACTGATTTGCCACTGATTATGTGAGCCTGACATAATTGCAAGTCTGTAAAGAGCCCATCTAGTAGTGAAACTGGATTGGAAGTTATGGTTGTGGTTCCATTTGCAAACTCTTCATTGCAGACAGTTTTGGATGTTTTTAAAATGAAGGCATTTCTTTGTGCATCTTTGTTCTTTTAAAAAAAAAAAATGTTCAATTAATTGTTAAATCCCACATCGATAAAATAAGACCTTGAACAATCAGAGCTAAACTTGTGCATATTTGATAACCTGGCACAAATTGTAAAGACTTCTGAATGTTTTATATTCTTTCAAGAGATGTGAGCACTACTAGTAAGGCTAGCATTTTGTTGCCCATGCAAATGTAATGATGAGCAGCTGCCTTAAACTGCAGAGAAGGAACAGCAGTATGGTTCCAAATTAAGATGATATGCGACTTGATGTTCCCATGAATCTGCTGCTTTTGTTCTTCTAGGTTGTAGCTATCTGGGGTTGGTGGGAGCTGTTGAAGGCTTGGTGAGTTGATAAACCATCTTGTAGGTGTATACAGCATTTAGTAAGGTGGTGGAAAGAACATAAAACACAGAACAGTACAGCAAAGTACAGGCTCTTCAGCCTATGATGTTGTGCCGAACTTTTACCCTAAACCTAAGGTCTATCTAACCTCCACCCCTCCCTTATACTATCGTCCATATGCCTATCTAATAGCTGCTTAAATGCCCCTAATGAGGCAGACTCCACTACCCTCTCCGGCAATGCATTCCATGCCCCTACCACTCTCTAGTAAAGAACCTACCTCTGACGTCTCCCCTATATCTACCTCCACTCACTTTAAAACTATGCCCCCTCATAATAGCTACCTCCACCCTAGGAAAAAGTCTCTGGCTGTCCACTCTATCTATACCTCTGATCATTTTGTACACCTGTATCAAGTCAAAAGGATGCTAATCAAGCAGGCTAGTTTGACCTGCACCAATTTGAATTTGTGGCATTAAAGCTGCACTTATTCAGGCAAATGGAGAGTATACCGTCATATTCCTGATATGTACCTTGTGAACAGGCTTCAGGAAATAAGGTGATGAGTTATTTGACACAATTCCCAGCACCTAGCTCCTGTTGTAGCCACAATATTGATATGACTCCTTTGCAAAGGTTGTGATTGGATGCTGATTTTTGCAGTCAGGGAATTTTTTCTAAAGGCAAAGAACAACACAGCACAGGAACAGGCTCTTCAGCCCTCCGGTTTAAGGCAGCTGCTCATCATTACATTTGCATGGGCAACAAATGCTAGCCTTACTAGTAGTGCTCACATCCCTTGAAAGAATATAAAACATTCAGAAGTCTTTACAATTTGTGCCAGGTTATCAAATATGCACAAGTTTAGCTCTGATTGTTCAAGGTCTTATTTTATCGATGTGGGATTTAACAATTAATTGAACTTTTTTTTTGCCCTTCCATATTAAAATAGAGTTCACTTACAGGATCTGTATCCCTCTATTCCCTTCCTATTCATATATTCGGCCAGGTGCTTCCTGAATGCTGCTAACGTGTCTGCTTCCAACACCATCTCTGGCAGCGTGTTCCAGGCACACTCCACCTTTTGTGTAAAATACGTGCCTCGCACATCTCTTTTAAACTTGCCCCTTCGCAGGTTGAACTTGTGTCCCCTAGTAATTGACCCCTCAACCCTGGGTAAAATGCCTCATACTTGCCACTCCATCCACACTATTCACTATCTTTTTTAAACTTCTGTCAGGTCGCCCCTCAACCTCCTGCATTCCAGTGAAAACAAATCCCATCTATACAACCAGTCAACGTCCTGGTAAACCTTTTCTGTACCCTCTCCAAAGCATCCACATCCTTCTAGTTGTGTGGTGACCAGAACTGTACGCAATAATCCAAGTGTGGCCTAACTGAAGTTCTATAAAGCTGCAGCATAAGTTACCTATTCTTGTTCCCAATGCCCCTTCCAATGAAGGTAAGCATGCCATAGTCCTTTTTTACTACCTTATCTACTTGTGCTGTCCCCTTCAGTGATCTCTGGACCTGCACACCCAGATCTCTCTGCAAATCAATACCTCCTAAGGGTTCTGTCATTCATTGTATAATTTCCACCTGTACTTGACCTTCCAAAAATGCATCACCTCACATTTGTCCAGATTAAATTCCATCTGCCATTTTTCTGCCCATGCCTCCAACCAATCTGTCCAGCTGTATCCTCTGACAATCATCCTCACTATCTGCAACTCCTCCAATCTTTGTATCGTCTGTAAACTTACAAATTAGACCAGCTACATCTTCCTCCAAATCATTTATGTAGATCACGAACAGCAGAGGTCCCAGCACTGCTCGCTGTAGAACACCACTAGTCTCAGCCCTCCATCCAAAAAGCATCCTTCCACCACTACCCTCTATCTCCTGTGATAAGCCAGTCCAGCTCACCCCGATACCATGTGACTTCACCTTTCGTACCAGTCTGCCATGTCAGACCTTGTCAAAGGCTTTACCGGAGTCCACATAGACAACATCAACCGCTTTTCCCTCAATCATCTTTGTCACCTCAAAAAAGTTAGTGCAACCTCCCCTGCTCAAAACCATGCTGTTTATTGCTAAACAGTGCATTTGTTTCTAAATGTTTATAGATTTTGTCCCCGAGACTGACTTGAGGCTCACAGGTCTGTAAATTCTTGGATTATCCCTGTTACCTTTTTTAAACAATGGGATAACATTACCTATTCTCTCGTCCTTTCTTTCATCATCATGCTATTTACTTAAGCTTGCAAGCGAATTCTTGAATGGTGAGAAAATGTTGTAGCTTTGATGTCACTTGGAGTAGCTCTATAATGAGAGAACCCAGCTTTAGATTGTCAGCCATGTTCCTGTAACACAGCTTTGAAAGCTAACATGAACAGAGTGTACAAAAAAATTTTTAGTAATTTTATTCTGCTATTTCCACTACTATTTTGGTAAGAATTTCACTCCTTGTGGCTTGATTTGCCCCTTCTGCCATATCTTGAACATTTGCAAGCTGTGGAAGAACGGAGATTTGTGGTGAGCAGAATTGTACTTTGTTACAATGCTGAAAATTTGAGAGAATTCTGTGATCGAGTACTTGGAAGTGTGCAGCTGAGCAAATTGTGGTCTGCCATTATCCTGAGGTACAAACCTTGTAAGTACCATTTTTCCCCATAGAATGTTCTTCACAACTAATAACATTAGGGCCCTTCCAACCATGAGGCATGCTCCCATGTGGGAGGAGTGTTTTATGAGCTAGCGTTGGAGCTTTGACATGTTTGGTTGGTTATGTTGAGCCATTGTGCTATTTTGTAGTAATTGAATCCAGCACTTTGAAACATTTTGCTATGTTTGTACATTAATCGTTTCAGGCAAGAATGGTCCAGGATGATTTGGAGAAAACAAAGGAAGAACTGCACATGGTATTATCTGCCCCTGCTCCACCCCCACCTCCACCCCCACCCCCTCCTCCAATCTACGAGCACCTAGAGGAGAATGAACATGACGATGCTGAAGAGAATCATACCACGTACAGTGCAGACCTTGCGACTGAAGGCATATTGGATCACAGAAATGAAGAAGAGCGAGTGACTGAAGTGGAGAAAAATGAACGAGTGCAACAGCAACTGATGGTAAGGAGCTGTATTAGCTGTGGTGGATAATACAATATCATGAAATAAAAATGCATTTAGAATCCCTACAGTGTGGAAGCAGGCCATTTCACCCGTTGAGTCCACACCACCCCTCTGAAGAACATTCCACCCAGACACCCCCATCCCACTCCTTTCCTATGGCTAATCCAACTAGCCTGCAGATCCCTGGACACTATGGGCAATTTACATAGAACATAGAACAATACAGCACAGTACAGGCCCTTCGGCCCACAATGTTGTGCTGACCTATTATCCTACTAAGATCAAACTACCCTGCATACCCTACAATTTTACTATCCTCCATGTGCCTATCCAAGAGTCGCTTAAAAGTCTCTAAAGTATCTGACTCCACTACCACTGCCGGCAGCACATTCTACACACTCACCACTCTCTGTGTAAAGAACCTACTTCTGACATCTCCCCTATACCTTCCTCCAATCACCTTAAAATTATGCCCCCTCGTAATAGTCATTTCCGCCCTGGGAAAAAATCTCTGACTATCCACTCTATCTATGCCTGTCATCATCTTGTACACCTCTATCAAGTCACCTCTCATCCTTCTTTGCTCCATTGAGAAAAGCCCTAGCACACTCAACCTTTCCTCATAAGGCCTGCCCTCCAGTCCAGGCAGCATCGTGGTAAATCTCCTCTGCACCCTCTCTAAAGCTTCCACATCCTTCTTATAATGAGGTGACCAGAACTGAACACAATATTCCAAGTGTGGTCTAACCAGGGTTTTATAAAGGTGTAGCATAACCTCACGGCTCTTAAACTCAATTCCCCTGCCGATTGAAAGCCAACATACCCATCCGCCTTCTTTACAACCCTATCATCTTGGGTAGCAACTTTGAGGGATCTATGGATGTGGACCCAAAGAACACACTGTTCCTCCACACTGCCAAGAATCCTGCCCCTAACCTTGTACTCTGCATTCAAATTCAACCTTCCAAAATGAATCTCTTCACGCTTTTCCAGGTTGAATTCCATCTGCCACTTCTTTGCCGAGTTCGGTATCCTGTCAATGTCCTGTTGCAACCTACAACAGCCCTCCACACTGTCCACAACTCTAACCTTCGTGTCATCGGCAAACTTACTAGCCCATCCTTCCATTTCCTCATCCAAGTCATTTATAAACATCACAAAAAGCAGAGATCCCAGAACAGATCCCTGCGGAACAGCACTGGTCACCGAGCTCTAGGCTGAATACTTTCCATCTGCTACCAACCTCTGTTTTCTATTGGACAGCCAGTTTTGTATCCAGACAGCCAAATTTCCCTGAATCCCATGCCTCCTCACTTTCTGAATGAGCCTACCATGTGGAACCTTATCAAATGCCTTGCTAAAATCCATATACACCAAATCCACTGCTCTGCCTTCATCAATGTGTTTTGTCACATCCTCAAAGAATTCAATAAGGCTTGTGAGGCATGACCTGAACCCCTCATAGCCATGCTGACTATTTATAATCAAACTGTGCTTTTCCAAATAATCATAAATACTATCTCTGAGTCCTCTCCAATTGTTTGCCCACCATAAAGGTAAGACTGACTGGTCTGTAATTCCCAGGATTATCCCTATTCCCTTTCTTGAACAATGAAATAATATTTGCCGCCCTCCAATCATCTGGTACTACTCCAGTGGACAGTGAGGACACAAAGATCATCGCCAAAACGGCAGCAATCTCTTCCCTTGCTTCCCATACAAACCTTAGGTACATCCCGTCTGGCCCAGGGGACTTGTCTGTCCTCATGTTTTTCAAAATTTCTAGCACATCCTGCTTCCTAACATCAACCTGTTAGAGCATATCTGCATGTTTCAAGCTGTCCTCACATGTCAAGGTCCCTCTCACTGGTGAATACTAAAGCAAAGTATTCATCAAGGACCTCCCCTACCTCCTTCGACTTCACGCACAAGTTCCCTCCACTATCCCTGATTGGCCCTACCCTCACTCTGGCCATCCTCTCGTTCCTCACATAAGCATAGAACGCCTTGAGGTTTTCCTTGATCCTACCCACCAAGGTTTTCTCATACCCCCTTTTAGCTCTCCTAAGTCCATTCTTCAGTTCCTTCCTGACTACCTTGTAGACCTCTAGAGTCCTGTCTGATCCTTGCTTCCTCAACCTTAAGTAAGCTTCCTTCTTCGTCTTGACTAGATGTTCCACATGTCTTGTCTTGTCATCCAAGGTTCCTTCACCTTACCATCCCTTCCTTGCCTCAGTGGGACCAACCTAACCAGTACTTGTAGCACCTGCTCCCTAAACAACCTCCACATTTCTGTTGTGCATTTCCCTGAGAATATCTGATCCCACTTTATGCTCAGCAGTTCTTGCCTAATAGCATTGTAGTATTGTAAATACTTTCCCACACCATCTGCTCCTATCCCTCTCCATGACTATAGTAGAGTCCAGCTAAACTGCACATCTTTGCACTGTGGGAGGAAACTAGAGCACTAGGAGGAAATCCACTCAGACGGGAGCAAATGTGCAAACTCCACACAAACAGTCACCTGAGGGCAGAATCGAAATTAGGTCCCTGCTGCTGTGAGTCAGCAGTGCTAACCTCTGAGCCACTGCATCACCCCTTGGGGTTGAATGTTATTAACTAGTCAAATATCTAGTCAGGAACTGGTCAGATGTATAATTATTCTATCTAGTATTTTTGTTTTTTTATTTGACTCTGTTGTGGGACATGGGCATCGCTGGCTCACCAATGTTTATTGCCATCACTGTTGGGCCTTGAGAAAGTGGTGGTGAGCTTCTGCCTTGAACCGCTACAGTCCATATTCTATAGGTTGATCTATAATGTCGTTAGGAAGGAATTTCAGGATTTTGACCCAGCAACAGTGAAGGAGCAATGATATATTTATCAAATCTAGATGGTGAGAGTGGCTTAGAGGGGAGCCTGTAGGTGGTGGTTTTAGCATGTATCTGCTGCTGTTATCCTTTTAGATGGAAATGATAGAAGGTTTGGAATGTGCTGGTTTAAAGATCGTTGGTGAGTATTTGCAGTGCGTCTTTTAAAAGTAAACCTTTTAGATAATAGCAGCAGTGCGTACTGAGCGTCCGTGGTGCAGATACTGGGTGTTTGTGGATTTGATGCCAATCAAGTAGGCTGCTTTGTCCTGGATGGTGTCAAGCTTCTTGAGTATTGTTGGAGCTGCACTTATCCAGGCAAGTGGGCATTCCATCACACACCTGACTTTGTGCCTTGTAGATGGACAGATTTTGGGGAGTCAGGAAGTGAGTTATTTGCTGCAATATTCCTAGTCTCTGAGCTCTTGTAACCACTATTCATATGGCATGCCCAGTTGAGTTTCTGGTCAACAGTAATCCGTACGATGTTGATTTTAGTGTGGGTTTCAGTGAACACTATTGAATGTCCGGGGCCATGGTTAGATTCCATCTTATTGGAGATGGTCATTGCCTTACATTTGTGTGATGTGAATGTTACTAGCCACTCGTCAGCCCTTTTGTTGCTCAGACTGTGGAAATTTTATAGCAGACTGATAAACGTAGAATGAGTCTTGGTAAGGAAGAAATTCCAGTTTTATTTTTGGATCTGCTTCATTTTCCTGAATCTAACCCAAATAGATTCCTTGATATACAAACTGCTGGTGAGAGGGGAAAAGCTACCATTCTCATGTACATCTGGGACATACTAGTTTGAATATCTTGATAGGCATTGAATTGTCTAGGAAAGTCTAAATTGGAGCAGCTTTGGTTTGGGCTTTGAAAATAGTGTTTGTAAGACTTAAGGTGGAATCTTAAACAAAATACTAAATAGGATCGATAGATGAATGGTTCAAATTGAAGCCAGACTTTAGGAAAAGGAAATAAGGCCGTTCAGAATGCTCTTTAAGGGCTGATATGGACTTGTTGGGCTGAATGTCTGTTTCCACACTGTAGGGAGTCTATGGAGTTCAGAAACATTTTGAATATGATAAACTGGAAACAGAGTTAGTTTGGATAAGAACATTAAGGGTCAAATTCATTGCTTAATTTGAGTTTTGCCATGTGCTTCCCTTCAGGGGGCTTGACTTGATTGTTTGTTTGTTTGTCTTTTTTTAATCTGTCTCTTCTCACCCACTTGCCCGTCCTGCCCATGGAAAGCTTTTGAGCAGTGAGCTTGCACAAGCCAGAGATGAGAGCAAGAAAACGTCCAATGACATAATTCACATGGAAAATGTCCGGAAAGGTCAAGACAAATATAAGACGCTTCGCCAGATCCGGCGAGGGAACACCAAACAGAGGGTGGATGAGTTTGAATCAATGTAAAATTTCACTGACAGCAGTACTTGTGCATGTACAGAATGATAATCCATTTAAGTTTTTCACTTTTCCTGGTGATCGCTGGAGCAAACAGCTTGGATTCTTTAGTAAAGAGATTGTCGGGCCACAACCTGAATTTTTTTTTCTCCCAAACTTGTTCCGCTAAGTTTCCATTTTGTAAAAATTTTGAATAGTTTCTGTTTTGAGTTCCTTCATTTTTGCACAGTGAAATGGATAATTGGTCATTTTCTGTAAATTTCGGTCTGAAATGATGTACTGCAGTGCAAAAACAATTGTTTTGTTGCCAAACATGCTTAACAAGTAAGCATCTTTTTCGATAGGGAAGGAATTTAATCTATGTCTGAACATTATAGCTGAAATGGTGAAGATTAGGAATTGGAGAACAGAATTTTCACTAAAAGGAAATTGCTTCATTGCATCACTTACACCGCAGTGCCACAAGCCCATGATCACTCAGGTGAAAAGATGATTTCAAATAGTATTTGCCACTCTACCGGTGAGGATTCCTATTATACTTTGCAAATATTAATGTCATAATGTGACTATACTGAAATGATCAATGGCAGATACATAATTTAAACACTTTTAGATGCTATCACCTTTCTGTGCATCTTCATGCAGATTATAAACTTCCATAAGTTGTGATATTACATTAAAACCCATCAATGACAGCCTATTAAATTTGTGTGGGGAAATGTTCCTGCTTTGTATATTCTTGCTCTTTGAAAATTTGGGCTTCAACACTTGGAAGATGAATGATAATAATGAATAACAATAAATGGTAGTTTTATGATACTGAAGCAAATCTGACATTATTTTATAGATCTAAATCTATTTCTAAATATTTTTAGGCCAAATGAGTAATAAGGCATGTTTGTAAAAATTCAATGGCAAGAGCAAAATCTTGTGTTCTATTTAATCTGACCAACTGATAAAGACACATATTGTAGCCAAATATGCCAATCTTTAGACATTTTGAAACTTCATATGTAAAGATTTGTAATTCAACATTGTTGCATGTTCTCCATACCTTGGGGATGTGAAATTTGTTGTACTATGTTATCACTATGCTTTCATAATAATGTGCTTATCAAAATGACAACTCTGTTCCACCGATCTGTACTTTGGGTATCCTGCACTTTGTACTTGCAAGTCTTGTACTAAAATGTTCTTTGCGATATTGAATTGCATCTAATAAAGATTTTGGCAATGGTTTTGGACATTAGGGCATTTATTCATGATCTTGCTTCTGTCAGTCATCCACTTGCATTCTGAATAAATGTGCACATTCTCAACGTTGCCATATTCCACATCACACTTGCTTTACACCATTTGTTTTCAGGTTGAAGGCAGACAAATTACTATATCGAGATACGGCCAACCTTTTTTTAAACTGGTGAGCTTCCTCTATGTTGTGGAATAGTACTGTGTAAAGATAGCCAATCTGTAACTGAAGGGGTGTAGCACTGTGCAAAGTGTATGCATTTTGTCATCTCCATAGTGCACTAAAATGAACACAAATGTATCTTTGTGCTGACTCACTTGTTAAAAAGGGTTAGGCTAGATAGAGATGTTGCATCAACGTGAGATTCCTGTGGTGATTCATTTGAGTTTATCAAGTGATTAGCTGAGTCTTGCAGGTTAGCAAGGACTGTTCCATGGATTGCACTAATTTATTTTTCTTAGTAGCAGATATAGCACTGATTTGTCCTTGCCAACAGCTCTTGTGCCCTCCACTGATATGAAAAGGGACATTTTGTAAGGAAATGACTTGAGCCGTATAATGGTTTAATAAACATTAGCATGCACTTTTGGATGAATACAGTACACCACAGAGTAACAGTGATAGAAATCTGCAAGAAGTCTTTCTTAGGTAAAAATTGGCAAGGGTTTAAAAAAGGGTAAATTGGTATGATAAAGTGAATTGGAGTGAAAATATTTAGTATCCTGGAGAATGGCTTGGAAGCTTGCCAATCTTGGTACCTGTATGGAGAAGCAAACATGGAAGAGTCACCATGCAATCTTTGTAATGATCTTTCTTGGAATTCATTTCTAGATGAGTTTATGGGAAGTTTTGGTTCTCTATTTTAGACAGGAAAACATAGAGTCCTCCAACTGCATATTGTAAAGAAACTGAATTGTGTTCCAGCATCTCATTATTCCTTAAAAAAAATTGTAAAATTTTGGACTATAATGCCTAGTCAGTTTTCCGAATGCATAAATAAAAGAGCAGAGTTGTGGATTTCTGCTTAAACGCCCTAGTTCTGAAGAATTGTCACTGGATTTGAAATGTTAATTGTTTTCTCTCCATTGCTGCCAGATCTGCTGAGTTTTTCCAGCAATTTCTGTTCTTTTTTGTTTTACAGGTCTCCAGTATCTGCAGTTCATTTGTTACATGAGCAAATTAATTTGGTCATAGCTTTGCCAATGATGCGTTTGGGTGCTGAGGTTTCACCTTTCAACTGTGGACATCTATACAATGATTTGATATTCATAGAATCCCTACAATATTGGAAACAGGCCCTTCGGCCCAACAAGTCCACACTGACCCACAGAGCATCCCAACCAGACGCATCCACCTAATCTACACTTCCATGAACACTACGGGCAATCCATCTAGCCTGCACATCTTTGGACTGTGGGAGGAAACCGGAGCACCCGGAGGAAACCCACGCAGACTCCAGGAGAATGTGCAAACTCCACACAGACAGTCACCTGAGGGTGGAATCAGACCAGGTCCCTGGCGCTGTGAGGTAGTAGTTCTAACCACTGAGCTACCATGCCACCCCAAAAGCTCGTTCAGTTATGTGCTGTTCTGGGCATCTTAACTAGTTACACAATGAAATGTTCCAAGTCTTAGTTTTTCTTTTGTTTTGAGAACCAAATTTTGGATTTTGCTGTTGCCATTTGTGCATTACACCTGAGAAATTTGTGTTAGGATGTATTTGCATTGTTGTCTTATTGGCTTGGAAAGCCAATGGTCCCTCATAACAGATATCAAATAGAGAGGAGAATATTGTGAGAACACTTTTTATGGTACCATCATAGGTGTTGATGGTACAAACGCCACCATTTTTCTGTATGCCTTGAAGTGAAGATAACTTGTCAGTTCAAAGATCAGGATACAGGTTTCTGTTTTAGTCAATTTAATTCTCACATTTTCAAGGCTCAAACAGCCAAAGTTTAAACCTTGCAGTCTTCCTGTTTTCTGCTAACCTCTTGCCTTCCATGTGATCTGATTAATGAACTTATTACCCTTTTACATCTTCCCAGTAGTTTAAAGCAATTATGTAACAGCATGTTTTTAATCTTTCAGCTCATCTCTATATTTTCTGGCTTTTCATACATGCTGTCTAGATGTGAATCATTGTAGCAAAGTTCCAGTTTTTGTGTGCAACTAGTAGGGGTGCTGGCAATCTTCATTCCTCCCTGGCAACAGGAGAGGTGCCAGAAATCTAGAGAACAGTCATTGTGATACTGTCCTTCAAGATGGAAAGAAGGGATAAATGACGAACCTATAGGCCAGTCAGTCTAACCTCTGTAGGGAGCAATTCTGAGGGAAATAATTAATTTCACTCAGAGGCAGTGATTAATCAAGAGTAGTCAGCATAATTTTATTCAGCAAAGTCTTGTCAAAGAGGTGATTTAGATGAGTAGATGCAGGTAATGCATTTGCTATAGTCTGCTTGAACTTCAGCAAGGCTTTTGATTAAGATCTTGCATGGAAGCTCAAGGGATCTAATGAAATGTGGCTAATTCAATCCAGAATTGGCAGGAGGCCTAGGGTGTTTTGTGATTGGACGACTGTGTCCAGTAGGAAGGACTTTTCCTTTTGGGGGGATCAACAACCAGGGACACCGATTTGAGGTAAAGGGCAGGAGGTTAAAAGGGGATGTGAGGAAAACTTTTTCCCTTAGCCAGTTCCAGACTCGTGACACCCACTATCTGTAAATGTGGTAGAGGCACAGACCCTCATAACAACATTTAAGTATTCTGATGTGCATTTGTGCTGCCAATAATGGTCCAAGTGCTGGTAAATGGGATTCAAATAATAAGGTGGCTGTTTTTGACCAGTGCAGACTCAATGGGCTGAAGGACCTTTTTTTGTGCTGTGGACCTGTATAATTTTAATTGTTCAAAAAAATGAAGGCTGCCTTGAATTGCTGCAGTAACTATCATGGTCTCAGGAATGTACTGGACAGGTGCTTCCAGGATATTTATCCACAATGGACCAGGAACTGCGACAAGTCGGGGAAATTGAAGGAGATGATCCCACAAAATTACTGGCCTTGCAATCACAGGGAACGGAGGCACTGGTACTACAGAGATGAATTTAGTGCATCCTATAAAACATTTGTCACCTATGGTTCAGTAGTAGATGTTTTAAGGCAAATTGTGGACCTAGTGGTACCCCTGAGACTGGAAGTACATGAATGCAAGGTTTTCCTTTTACTGCAGTGACAGAGGGCATGGATAGTAAGCTCAAAGTACAGGTGCAACAAGAGAGTAAACTCAAACAGAACAGAAGCCTTAATTGCAAAACTCATTCATATTATGACTTTTTTTCAGGACAGTTGAATTGAAGCAGCTTTAGTTCCAAAGGTAGCAATTTTGAGCATGTTCAAAGCTTTTTTGACACAAAGACCCATATTTTGTAGTGAGTATTCACCATGGACCATGAACTAAACTGCAGAGATGAAAATTTCCACCATTTAGCAGAATTCTGACTTGCATTGCACAATTCTGGCATTTTAATTTGTTTTCTGTCCTCTGCCTGGTCTGGGGGAGCTGTCACTTAGTTCCTCTCTAATCCACTATCAGTTGGATTTGATTTTTGAGCAGCTTTCTGTTGTTGTTGAAAGACCGAGGCCTCATCCCTCAATACTTGCCACTTGTGTTTGCAGCTTGCAGAGCACTGGAACATCTCCCTGTGGGAGTCAATATTTCGGGGATTGAGTGTAGAAATGACCTGGAGCCAGTTTTTGGTTTGGAATCGGAGACTGGGATGGTGGGTGCAGGGCTGAGCTGGACCTAGGATGTGTAGGTGAATCAGACTTGGGCCAGTGTTTGGCATTTGGGCAGGGAGGTGGGCAATAGACAGGGTAGAAGCAGGCCTTAGTGATAGTCTCTCATGTAAATCAACAGGTTATAATATCAGGATTTGAGTAAACTTAAAAGTTTCTCTTTTGTTCATTATCATTATTGCTGCTTTTCAACAATGACTCGTTGGTCTAGGGCTATGATTCTCGCTTTGGGAGTTTAGGGCGGCACGGTGACTCAGTGGTTAGCACTGCTGCCTCACAGTGCCAGGGACCCGGGTTCAATCCCACCCTTGGGTGACCATCTGTGTGGAGTTTGCACATTCTTCCCGTGTCTGTGTGGGTTTCCTCTGGGTGCTCTGGTTTCCTCCTACAGTCCAAAGGTGTGCAGGCTAGGTGGATTGACCGTGCTAAATTGCTTGTAGTGTTCAGCGATGTGTAGCTTGGGTGGGCTACATGGGGGATGAGTCTGGGTGGGATGCTCTTGAGGGTCGGTGTGGACTGGTTGGGCCAAAGGGCTTGTTTCCACACTGAAGGGATCCTATGATGATTAACTCGTTTCCTTACGACAGGTAAATTGGAGAAATCCAGGTGGGGAAATTGTGTAATTCTAATACGTAGTATAAAGAAGGCTAATCTGACCTTTTAAAATACACACAGCAACTTACAACAAATTACCTTTTTTAACTCCTTTTGCATAGCTTAGTCACAGGTGATCTTGAGCCACCAACCTTGCAGTTAACAGGGGAACATGCTGACCCATTGCACTAGGGAGACTGATGCATTACTCCATTGTAGGAGTATAGAATTCCTGTGGTGCAGTAAGGCCATTCAGCCCATTGAACCCTCCAAAGAGGATCCTATCCTCTCCCCATAACCCTGCATTTACTATGGCTAGCAATTTAGCATAGCCAATCCACCGAACCCGCACATGTTTGAACTGCAGGAGGAAACTGGAGTACCTAGTGGAAACCAACGCAGATAGTCACCCAAGGCTAGAAGTGAATCTGGGTCCCAGGCATTCTAAGGCAGCAGTGCTAACTATTGTTCCACCATGCTGCCATGTAAATTCATACAAGTCAAAAATGTGTTATCCCACCATTGATCACAAAGGGAGATATTTATAATTCAATTAACCCTTGGAAAAACAATAGATCCCTTTACATGTCACGGTCATAGAG